TGCAGAGAAACTCAGCCTCAGCAGCCCTGCTTGGCTGGCGAGCGGCTGTGGCTAAGGGTGCCGTCTTTGACAATGCAAAAAGGCACAGCCCTGTGTGCCTCGGGAGGGCCCAAGGGGACTTATCACAGGGCCTTTGCCCGGACCTAGAGTCCTCGGGGGAGTGCAACGGGGGAAGAGGCACAGGGAAACAGACCAAAGAGAGGAAGGGAATCTGGGCTGGCAGTTATTTCAGGATAACTGTGGCTCCCCTGCACCCGCCTCCCCTACCTCTAAGATTTGCATAAAGGGAAGGTGAACAAACACCAGGTTGCATGGAGTGCTGAGCTGCAGCATCAGCTCTAAATAAACGCAGCCCCTTGTGTGCAGATGGATAAACTGAGGCCTGGGGGGCAGGGAGGGGCATGACTTGCTTAAGATCTCTTGGTCAATAGTAGAACTAGGACTGAAATCCATGGTTTCTTTTTCTTTTTTTTAATTAATATTTATTTATTTTTGGCTGTGTTGGGCCTTCGTTTCTGCGCACAGACTTTCTCTAGTTGCGGCAAGCAAGGGCTTCTCATTGCGGTGGTTTCTCTTGTTGCGCAGCACGGGATCTAGGTGCGCGGGCTTCAGTAGTTGTGGCATGCAGGCTCAGTAGTTGTGGCTTTTGTGGCGCACGGGCTTAGTTGCCCCGTGGCATGTGGGATCTTCCCGGACCAGGGATCGAACCCATGTCCCCTGCACTGGCAGGAAGATTCCTAACCACTGTGCCACCAGGGAAGTCCCAGGACTGAAATCCATGCCTTCTGATTCGAGGCCCAGGGGAATATGCCATCATAGGAATCACGGGGCAAGAGGACAGTCTGGATGGCTGACACTCCTAGCCCACCTGAGTGACTGAGAACTCAAGTTCCTTCCTGCAAGTTCCAAGACCCCAGGAGGTACCACTGGCCCTGATGGAGCCTCAACAGGGGGAGCATGGGCACCTGAGGAGCCCTGGGAGGGACAAGGTCTGCAGCCAACCCCCGCACTCCTCTTTCTCCTTGAGAAGGAGGCAGCCTCCAATATTTCTCACCCTAAGAGCATTTTCTGTCCATTGGAGGCCTTCACTCTCCCAAGCTGACTCCTTCAGATCTATCCCCAGCCTCCTCCTAACCCCCAGGTCCAGCCCAGTGGCCAGAAGAGCTGCTGGGCCAGGCCTGACCTTTGGGCCTTGATGACATCATCCCTGTTGCCATGGTGATGGTGGTCTGGCAGCATCTTCTCAAGGGAGATGGGCCTCTAGGCTTGAGGTTCTACAATTTTCTCTCTTTCTTTAAATATTTATACTTTCTTTTTTTTCTGAACAATGAGGGGAGAAAGTAATGACTGAGTAAAAAAAAAAAGAAAAAGAAAAAAAGACTAAGAGGGAGAGACAGAGAGAGGAGAATGGAGCCAGGGAGATGGAAGGAGGGAAGAATAGAGTCAGACAGGGAGGATGGGGGTCAGTGCCAGTGAAAGAATAGAGAAAGGTCAGCCAAGCTTGAGATTCAGAAAGAGATGAAGAGTCAGGAATTTGAGAATTAAGCTGGAGAAGACCAAGGAAGGGGGACTGGGGGTGAGGGGCGGTGGCCAGGTGGCAGAGAGTAAGATACAGCCAGATGAGAGGGCAGCCAAAGCCATTTGTGACTGAAGACAAGCTCTTGTTCCCCAGACAGGACACAACAGTTGGTCAGGGCCACTGTGACACAGAGCTGGAGCACATGGACAGAGGGCAGTGCCAGAGGGAGCCCACGGTCCCCACAGCAACGGGACCCAGTGCTCCCAGGGCTTATAAATAAACAGGCATGTGGGAAACGCACATTCTTTCTCCGAGAAATATAATTTATGTTTACAGCCAGTTTTTTTTTTTCTTCCTAAAGAAAACGCTACCATGGGGGGGGGGGCCCTGCCCCTGACAGTGTCCCTGAGTGGCCCTGGCCCTGGGTCCTCCTCCCATTATTGCTTGGATGGGAAAGATCTGGCCCTGGGAATTGCAGAGCGAGGCCTCACTCCTCACCCCCGGAGGCTGTCCTGGTGACGGAGTGGAGGCACACAGTGCTCATCCCATGCCCCACGCCATGCCAGCCACCCCGATGGTGCCCATTTAAGGGAATGGAGAGTACAGGCAGTGGCTACACTGGAGCAGCCGCCCAGAGTAGAGAGCCTCTCTCTCCAGTGCAGGAGGCCCTAGAGGCACAGTGGCTTCTTTTCAAACTTGACAGCTGGAAGGCTCAGGCTGTGGGGAAGGGAGGGAATGTTCTCTTTCCCAGCAAGATTCCAGGCACAAGCTGGAAGAAGAGAACAGAGTAAACGGCAAAGGGCAGAGACCTTGCCTTCTGAGTCCCCCCCTTCCCCACATAAAATTTAGGGGACCTGGGGAGGGAGGTACGTACCACAAGCCCTGGTGGAGGAGCAAGGGAAGCTGTGGTGTTAGGGTCCCAATCCCGGTTTCCCACACCTGTCTGTCCTGGGCACCAGCCCCAACTCCAAGCCCCTGCCCCTGGGCCAGGCCCTCTTCTGGGGGCAGTTCTGCCTCAAGCAGGCATGTGGTCCACTCCAGAGGTAGCAGCTCCTGCACCAGAAAGGGTGGACCTAGAAGATCCAGACTCCAGGAGGAGGGAGGTTGCTGGGTGCCCTGAGCTTCCAGACTCAGCCACGGGGGATGATTCCATGGTCAGTGTGACCCTGGTTCCAGGAAGAAGCTGGTGCCTTTACTACTGTGTTGTCAGTGACTCTACCAGGGACCAGACGGAACTATAAGAACTGGACAGAACCGGGACTTTTGGCCTGAAGACCGCCCAGAGACCAGCCAGTAGGCAGTCTTTTCACTACCCTGGAATGTCTGAAGATGACCCCCAGGCCTGCCTGTCCCCGGCAGCTTGCCCAAAGAGACCCCTTCTCTGCCTCAAGTAGGGACCCACCGTTCCCACAAACCTTCCCAGAGGCCCTCCTCCCAGAGTGGCCGAGGCCCAAACACCCAGAGCACAGGCTCAGGTGCCCAGTCCTGGAGCTGCTTCCAGGGTGCAGAGGCTGTCCACGGGGGGCCCCAGAGCCCGGGAGCTCCCGCCCCCTATGAGCAGGTCTTCTTCCTCCTCATCCTCAAAGACCCGCGCGGGGCGCCGGGGCGGCGGCCGGGGCGTGGGTTCGTCGCGCTCGGCCATGCGCTCGACGGCGCCCTCGCCCACAAGGAAGACCGTGTCGGCGACGCGGGGGGGCCCAGTGACCGGGTTGTGGTCGTAGGAGAAGACGCGCAGGGCACGCAGCGGGTGCAGGTCGGGGAAGCCGCCCAGGCGGTTGCGGTCTAGGTCGAGGATGTGCAGGCGGCCCATGCGCAGCAATGCGGGCGGGAACTCCTCGAAACGGTTGCCGTAGAGCCAGAGGCCGCGCAGGCCCGTCATGCGCGGCAGCTCCGCGGGCAGCGCACGCAACCGGTTGTCGCCCATCTGCAGCGACTGCAGCGCCACCAAGCGCAGCAGCGGCCGCGGGAAACGCCGCAGGAAGTTGCCCTCGATCCAGAGGCAGCGCAGGCTCTGCAGCTGCGCGAAGTCGTTGGGCAGTGCCGGCAGCCGGTTGCTGCCCAAGTAGAGGCGCGTGAGGCGCGGCAGGCGACACAGACCGTCGGGCAGGCGCTCGAGTTTGTTGAAGTCGAGCGCCAGGATGCGCAGCTCGCGCAGCTCCTCGATCTCCTCGGGCAGCTCGCGCAGCCCCGTGCCGCTCACGTACAGCTTCTGCAGGCGGCTCAGAGCGCACACGGCGCTGGGCAGCCGCCGCAGCCGCCTCCCGCTCAGCTCCAACTGCTCCTCGCCATTGCGCAGTTGCTCCTCCGCGTCCGATGGCAGCTCGTCCGGCGTGGACTCGGCTATGCCCATGGTCACGGGCCCCGGCCGGGGCCGCCGCCGCCGCCCGGCATCGCCCCGCCCTCGCGACCCCCCGGCCTCCTCGACGGGGCCAAGGCCGCGCCGGCTCCGGGGCCCCCCGCCCCGGCCTGCCCCCGCGCCCGGGGGGCTCCGGGGCCCCCCGCCCCGGCCTGCCCCTGCGCCGGGAGGGGGGCCGTGCCTGGCCGGGAGGAGGCGCCCTCCTGGGGCCCAGCCGCCGCGCGCCACGCGCCGCGCTCCGCCGTCCGCCCTCCGGCCTCCCCTGCTCCCTCCGCCGGAGGCCGACTGGCTCAGGTTAGCACTGACTCGCAACTCTGAGACCCGTTGCCCTGGCAACCCCCGACGCGCGTGAGGCTGCCAATCAGGCGGAGGGAGGGAGGGGCGGGGCCAAGGTGCCACCAGAGCGGGGTCCCGGCGCCGGGGCTCGCGCCCCGCGTTCCCACCCGACCAGCCCCGGAGCCAGCGCTCGCCGAGGGAACCCAAGATCCGCTGTCCGCAAGCCTGGCACGGTGCCAGCACAGACCCGACGACAGACGCAGTCTACGCTTCCAGCCACAGCGGGCCGTTTGGTGTGCGGTTGTGTGCGTCCAGAGCTGCAAGTCCAAGAAGAAGGAACCAAGGACCGAGGAAACGCCGGCGCGCGACCCAGGACTCTGGACAAGTGGCTCTCGAGGAGGGACTGAGGGGCGCGGTCACTGCCGGCCGTTCGTGTACAGCGGCGTGCGCCCAGTCTTCCCGCTGGGTTCACTTTAAGATGGTAGCTCAGACCATTGTTCCTTTCTGGGCTTTTTCAGACTGGGTCACAGCTGAGGATCTGCGGGGACCCAAGCTTGGCTCCGCCCCCCTGCCCGCCCAGTGCACCCGCAGTGCACAGCAGGTTCCTGGTTCGTGCACTCACACCCCCCTCTCCTGCCGAGTCCCTCCAGCTATGCTCAAGTTCAGTGTGTGGCTGCGGTGGACGGAGGACTGACGCACTCGAGCGCCTTTGAGCACCACCAGTGATGACCACGCTCGTTCTGGAACTGTTCCTCTTGCACACGCTCCCACCAACAGCTTTTTGCCCATGACTTCTCCCCTCCTGCTCCGTCCGAGCCCTCCTGCCAGAGCTGCCAGCAGAAACACTCCCTCTGGTTTATTGCCAGCCTGCCATGTGCCCAGCACTATGCTAAAAGCATTGCGCTGAGTCCTTGCCACAGTCTATGAGGTAGGTACCCTCATTGCCCCAATTTTAAAGATGGAGAAACTGAGGCTCTGAGAGGTTTGATGTGAGGTGGGTGACTTGCCCAAGGTCACCCTGCTGGCTGGTGGCTGGGATTTGAAACCAGGCAGTCTGACTCTCCAACTTTTGCTCCTAACCAAGTACCACTCCAATAAATGGAAACAATGACTCCACCTCTGTCCACGAATATTCTCACAGCAGAGCCTCAGTCTAACTCTTACGACAAAGGCATTATTAAACCCATAAGAAAGATGAGGAAAGTGGCCCCAGAGGGATTAGGCAGGCAACTTGCTGAAGATCACACAGTGAGTAGACTGTACAGCCAGGAAGTCAAGTCTGCAGGCTCCAGGCCTCCTCCATCCTGCCTTCCCTCCTTGGTGGGTGTGACCATGTAATTGGCTGCAGGGACAGACCTCTAGACAGCATCTTGCCCTCTGACCCACCCCCACTCCCATCTCCACTACAATCTGGGAAGGAGGCCAGCCCAAGGGCAGACAGCAGGGGCCAGTGCAAGGAGAGGATGAAAACTACAACCCCTGAAATGTAAGCTGGCTGGGGCAGGTAAGCTTGTCTCCTTCCCTGCTGGCACAGGGTCTGGCACATAGTAGTCGTTCCATGAAAATTATCAACATTTTAAAAGATGGAGGCAAACTTTACATAGAATGAAATGCATAGATCATAAGTGTACAGTCTGGTGAGTTTTTGTTTGTTTGTTTGTTTGTTTTGTTTTTGTTTTTTCAGTCTGGTGAGTTTTGACGAATGTAAACACCCGTGTAATATTTCCGTCACTCAGAGTTCTCTCACACCTGCCTCTTCCAGTCAATCCCAGAGGCAACCGTGATCTTGACCTCTATCATCATGGATCAGTTTTGCCTGCTCTTGAATTTCATATAAATGGAATTATTCAGTGTGTACCTTTTTTTGCTCCTGGCAGCTTTTTCTCAGATACTCGATATCTATGTGTTGGATAAATAAACGAAAGAGCAGAGCCATAATAGTTGTAATCAGGCAAAGGGTGTCATGGGGTGAACACAGAGACGGGTACTGCTCTGAGCCAGGAACTAGCCTTGGACCCCTGTCCTGGAACGAAGACTGATAAGGTGCAAGCTGAGGTAGAAGCCCCGGGCAGAGAATAAGTGGGGCCCAGACACCAGATCTGGGATGTAGGAGAATTCTGAGCCCCAGCCAGAGGGACTTCAAGCTCCTTCCAGACCCCACCTAAGCCCCAATCCAACTTTCTCCCTTCTACTCATTTGGGAGAACTGAGAAAAGGTGACACCTCAGACACCAGAAAGCTGAGGAAAACCCAGCCAGGCAGCCGGGATAAGAATGAGCACCTCCCCCCCACCCTCCTGCCCACACCCCCCCCCCCCCCCCC